TATATTTGTTCAAGGTTTAAGAAAAGAATAAACCTCTGAGTGTACAAACACCTGATACCAGATTTGGATTTGTGGGACTTTTTGTGGGGGAGGGGGGAGTTGTTTCTTGAAATTAGTAAGATTATTAAAGAAACACAGCAGTGGACGTTAGTAATATGTCTTAGAACAATGACCCAAATGAACTTGCTTGTATCAAAATCGCCCGTAGGTACTGAATGCAGAGTTTCCTGTTGTTCTGAGCTGCTGTGTTCTGCCCTGCAGAGTCCTGACGACAGGAAGCTTCCCTCTGCCCAGCGTTCTCTAAAGGTCTTGCTTCTTGTTGCCCAGCCGTGCTCTTCTCCTGGACCCTTGGCATGTGACCTGAGGGCTCCAGCAGAAATCCACCCAGAGGGTCACAAGGAAGAGTGCCAGGGTCTTCATTATTACCACAGTCCATGGCTGCTGGTTCCCAGGCTTCTGCAACTTAGGTCCCCCTGAAAAATGACTCTGCCTGCTGCTACCTTGGGCACTTGCCCTTTACTTTTATCCTCTGAAACTCACCCACCCTCCATGCCGCAAGGCCAGCTTCCCTCAGTCTTCCAAAGAATTCATCACCTCATTTGATTATTTTGGAAGGAGCAGCAGTTGACAGAATGAGCCCAGGCACAGGTACTGTATAAGTTCCCTCGTGCTGCATAACAAACAGCCCCCAAACTTAGGGGCTTTAAATAATACCATCTCTTATGTCAGAATTCCTGTGGGTCAAAACCTCAGGAGCAGCTTAGCTGGATGTTTCTGGCTCAGATGAGAGTCCCTCCCATGTTTCAATCAGGATAATGATATTGGCTGGGGCTGCCAACATTTAACACTTACTGGGGCTGGCAAGTCTGCCTCCGAAGTTGGCTCACGTGGCAGGAAGTTTTCCACTCCAGCTTCTCAAAAGGGCTGCTTGAGGGGCCTTACAGTATGATAACAGGCTTCCCCTGAGCTAATGGTCCAAGAGAAGGCAAGGAGGAAGCCACAATTCCTCTGATGTCCCGGTCTCAGATGTCACAGACATTGCCTTCTCCAGAAGCCAGCAACCAAGTACATCGACACTGACGGGAGGAGTACTAAAGATTTTGCAGACATATTTTTAAGTCTCCACAGTGCAAAACCTTACTCCCCCACAATACTAACCATGTAATGTTGGGTGAGTTACACTCCCAAGCCTTAGTTTCATCCTCTCTAAAATGAGTATAACACTTTCTCCTCAAAGGATAGTCGTATGGACTCAAGACGTTTAAAAGATCCTAGCACGACCATGCCTCATGCACGGTAGGTATCCCATAACTGGCAGTTTTTGTTATCTAGGCTCGAGAAGAAGACCAAGGTCAGAGTCTCTGCTAACGTATAAGTAAAGGTGGAACCCCAGCATGATGGTGAGGCAGTGTTGGGGGAAAGACATGCCACAGACAGCCATACAGTACAGGACACTTCGCCTGCAGCCATACCCTGAGCAGGGAATGGGCCAAGCTGGGCATTAGTATGAAAGTGCCAGCCTCTGAGCTCCACCACTTTTTCGGTCTCTGCTTCTCAACCTGTAGTAGATGACAGAATAATCTCCCTCCCCAAATGGCCACATTCTAATTGCAGAATGTGTAAATATGGAGACTTCCTGATGGGATTCAGCTAAGAATCTTGACACGGGAGATGATCCTGGATTATCCAAGTGGTCCCAATGAAATTGTAAGGGTTCTTAGGAGAGAGAAGGTGTTATTAGGTGGCTGGCTTTGAAGAGGCAGGAAGAGCCCATGAGCCTAAGGATGAACGGAAGGGGGAGGGAATGGACTCTCCTGAGAACCTCCACAAAGAAGCCCTGCCAAAACCTTGAGTTAGAGCAGTGAGATTGATTTGGGACCTCTGACCTCCAGCACAGCAAGATGGAAACACCTTTCCAGAAGGCACAGCCAGGAACACAGGGCTCCCCCTCCTCCAGCTCCCAGCTGGAGGGCGGCCTTCCCAAGACAGGCAGGATGCCCACATTTCTCAACCTGCCCCAGCACCCTATTGCTGAGGCACATTCTTTGCAAGTACAGATGGGAGCTGGGGGCTTCCATCCTCTGCCCAACCCCCATTTGTGGGATGGAGGCTCAGACGACCTGAGGCTGCTGCCCACCGCCAGCCCCACCAGCACTGAGCTCCTGAGGCAGGGGTGTCACTCCCCCCACCCCACAGTGGAGCTGGGACCACAACTCTGTGAATACACTGAAAACCAATGAATTGTACACTTTAAGAGGGTGAATTGTATGGTAGGCAAATTATATCTCAACAAATCTGTTTTTTAAAAGAACCAATAAAAAATAAATTCATGTTGTTAAAGGCCCCTGCATTTGTGATAACAGCACCAACAGGAAACAGAATCATCCCCCTGCAGCCACCATGGATTTGGCCCTGAGGCAATGGCTGACCCCACTGCTTGGCGTCCCCGCTGTGCACGCTCTCCCAGCACAGGCCCTGGTCCTCCTGGGGGGTGCACAGCACTTGGGGAAGATGCGTTGTTTACTTGGGGGAGACAAGCTTTACTTCACACCAAGATGAACAACACAAAAGGGACAAAGCAGTGCCATCTCCCAGGGCCCTTAGGTGAGCAAACCTCTTCCCCTTTCCACCTCCTTCCAGGAATGGCCCTGCTTGGGACCAAGACATCTCCCTCTTGAGCTCAACCAGCTGAAACAAGAATTGGGAGTGAAATACAGGTGTCCTCAGTTTACAAGCTTACATCAATATTTGGCCCAAGAGCAAAATCTCATTTGCCTACAGCTCATTTTGGATTTCCTGCAGCCAGGCTATATCCAGTGCACTATTTGTTAATATTTTACATTGAGTTTGAAACTGCAGGACATCTTTTCTAAGGCTTTGTTTTAAGCTAGATGCATCGAAAGGAGCACTGGGTTTATTTGCTGAGAAGAAGCCTGTCCATCAGCTGTTCACACGACTGGCACTTCCCGCACTCAGTCCTTTTTTATTTCTTGAAAATTTTGGCCCAACGTCTTGTTTCATGAGCCCTTGCTCTCAATTCTTATCCCCTCTCCTCCTCCTCTGAGCCCTGAAACCTCCTGACCGAACAGAAGTCTACTTTCACCTCAAAGAGTTCAGAGAGCGATGGCATCCACAGCTGGGGGCCTGTGACAGGCAGAGGTGACATGGGGTCACACAAACAGGATTGGGTCTTGAGGACCATTCTTGGTGTGTTTCGCTCTTTGACCAATTCTCAGGTCCAGCCACAGACTCAAAGCTGGGCTTGCACTTCACAGTTTGTGTCTCTTCAACTTTGGTCAGCTAGGCTGCCGTGTGCTGTCAGCGCCAATTGAGGCAGACAACTCTGAAATCTCAGAGCCAACCCCACGGATTAACAGCTAACCCGGCCTGTGTTTGACTACTTGTAAGACAAAGAAATAATCCCCAGGGTATAACCAGGTGATCCTGAAGGCGGGCTCTTAGCTGCCAGGTGGAGGTGTATCCTTGGACTGCCCGATCGCCTGGGTGGGGCTCTGGCTGCGGCTCCCCACCTGCGTCCGTGCTCTGCAGCTGACTGGGCTGCAAAAGATGCTGAGCCACGTACTCAGAGTGAGTCAGGAATCTCATTTTTGTAAGATAATGTGTGTTAAGCATGCATGGATGTTTCTAGTAAATATTAGTAGTGTTTATTCTATCAGACTTTCACAGTCCCAGAGCTGAGCAAAACCAGCAGTCATTGCTTCCACACTGCATGTTGTGGACATTTGAGCCTGTGGCTGGTATTGATGTGGAACTCACAAGAAACTGATTAGGGTCACCTGGGATCCCACCAGTGAACAATGTGATGTGACCACAAGTGACCAAAACAACCAAAAGGATGGATGGACATGTCTGGTCAAAAAAAAACACCCCAGAATCAACCATGGTGGAAGGTCTGGGCATATGTCTGCCTCAAAATCCCACCTTCTCCACAAGTTTGATGCTGCCACTCAATGCTGCCTGAGTTCTGACCAGTGGAGGGTCAGATTCTCTGGGCCTCAGTTTCCACACCTGCAAAATATGGATATAAAGTGATCACCGTCCTTTAGTCACAGAACACCGGAACATTCTCTGGGGTAATATTTTATGCCATAAAGTCTATTTCAGTGTCTGATACATTTGGAATGCTCAGAAGTTATAGTAGTTATTGATAGATTACAAATACTGGAAGAGAATCTAAGCCACTAATACACTGGGCAGCATGAAGTGGGGGCCCAGGGTGGGAGGAGCACCATGCCCAGGAGCTGCACGGGGTGGCTCCCCGGAGGCCTGGGCATGGGCAATGCTTCACAATTCCAGCCCCACCAGTACCCCTGACCTCCACCGCATGGTTATTATTAGGATGAAACCAAGCACAGTGGGCTGAAGTCAAAATTTCAACTCAACCCACAGGCCTGCCCACATTGATCTTGCTACTGGTGGCTCTTTGGATGCAGAAAAATACAGCGATAATGATAATAAGTGTTAGCAATCTTCGAGACCCATAGAGACTCTCCAGTATCTCACCAGACCAGACACAGAAGCCATGTTTCCCTGTCACCCGCTGTGCATTGCTGAGCAAGTTGCAAAGCTCTGCTTTAGACTGGGGCTTGTTCAGTAGGCGTTTGCATAGGAGGATCCAGCTGTATTTTTTTTTTAATTGAAGTATCATTGATAAACGATCTTATGAAGGTTTCACATGAACAACATTGTGGTTTCAACGTTCACCCATGTTATCAAGTCCTTGCCCCCGCCATTGCCGTCACTGTCTATCAGCATAGTAAGATGCTATCGAGTCATTACTTGTCGTCTCCGGGTCCAGCTATATTTCTAATGTTTTGCTTCTTGAACTGAATGGTAGCACGTAGGCCTTCATTGTAGTGTTCTTTATGCCTTTTTGCATGTCAGAAATACTTCTTGATTTTTTTAGAGGACAATGTAGGCCTAGTCCCGCCAGCAAAGAGCAGTCAGTTCTTGCTCACGTGGCCCAGAGGAGAGGAACAGGGGTGCAGTGAGAGGAAGCACTGTAAGCAGCAGACTGGCGTGCCACCCTCTTGGGCCAGCTGGTTTGAAACATTCCCTGAGTGTGCTGGATGGTGAGAGCAGGCCCCTGAGGACGGGGTGAGTAAGTAGAGGGTACAAAGTCCAGCTGGAGATGCTGTGCACACACTCATGCAGCCCATCAGGCCTCTGGGGGCCTGGGTGCTTGGCAGAGTGAGTGGCCTATGGTCCGAATCCACCCACAGGTCCCCCTGTGGGACGTCCCATACTGAGCATGCAGGGGGTAGGCAGTGGGGAGCGGGGAAGAGGCGTTAAGATCTCTGTTCACCTGACCAACACGGAAGGGTTTCTTGCTTTCCACACTGAGTAGCCTTGCTTCTACTCGGAGCTCACAGCTGCGGGGCCAGCTTCTCTCTGCCGGGCTCTGGGCTCTGTTCAGCTCTCCTGTCCATCTTCCTGAGTGCTGGCCAGGTTTTTAATCTTTTCTGATTCTGAGGGACATAGAAATTATTTGCCAGTGTCCCACTCAGGTTCTTTGTTTACAAGCAAGAAACACAACCTCTGAATAACTTTAGTAAAAATGGGACTGGATGACAGGAAACAGAGCCACAGGGCCAAAGCAGCAGAGAAGCGGGCTAAGGGCCACTTCATCTGGGCCTCAGTGCTCAGCAGAGCTTGGCATAATTTGGGGGAGTGGGGTGTGGGCATGTGAGTGTGTTAGTGAATGTGCAAGTGTGTTTCTTTTTCCATTTATCCCTGTGTCCCTCCAGGCAAGACTAAGCCACCTGGGAGGGAGAGTCCCATTTGCCTTGACTAGAGGAGGGTCGGGCATCTCCCCTGACTGAATAGGTGCCAGTTCGGGTCATTCCTCAGCAGCCATCTGGGAGCATGACCAGAAGGCAGGAGACTGGACCTGGACTGAAACATCGAAGGCTCTCCCCCAGGCATCTGTTCTGCCTTGTTTTCTCGCCTTTTTAATGACCCATCTGTCCCCCCAGCAGATCCTGAACATCAGGGACACTATCCTCCACTTTTGTTTCCTTGGGAAGGGCTGGAAGCCCGGTGTGTGTGTGTGCGTGCGTGCGTGCGTGTGTGTGTGTGTGTGTGTGTGGCACCATCCTGAACACTTAGTAGCTGCTTAATGACTACTTAGGGAAATGAACTCAGTAGAATCTGAGAGAAGGAAAATGGAAATGCAGATCTTTTCAGAGTGCTTCTGGCAGTTCAGAACATCTCTGAACCCTAAAATAAAGAGGCAAGCACTGGCTGTGTGGAGCTGGCTTTGTCTTCTCTACCCTGGGACCTACCTTTTGCTCATCCTCCCCTTCACCCACCCCAGGCCGGATGATGCTCTGTGGTGGTGCAGAATAACAGAATGATTTTGCCATATATTGTCAAGACACTGCATCCAACAATGAGGGTTTTATTCTGATGCAGAGTTTGAAAAAAAAAAGTCTCAGTAGATGCCAGAATTAATTTCCAACCTTGAGAAAAAAGGAATGCAGAGTACAGCAAAGTTATTGATTCAGTCAGCCTTTCGATGCTGGAGCCTCCCTCCCTCTACAATCCGACAGAGCAGGATTCATTGCGCCCCTTACTTTCTGAGACGTGATACGTAGCCACTGGGATTAGGGGCCATTTCTCGTCTCTGAGAGATATCAGGGCAACCCCGGGGCCAGCCTTCATGGGAGCAAGCTGATCTGCTTGTCACAGTCCGTGTGTGAAATAATAAGCTTTCTTATTTTCTCAGTGAAATCAAGCCTACTGAGCACCATCTGCTTCACGTGTGTTAAACAGCTGAAGGTCATACTTAGACTGTGGTCAGGAACATGGAAGAAGAATCTGCAAACTCCTGTGTCATCATTGCAGTTTTATACTTTTCATTCCAAAGGTATCTAAAAAAACATTCAAACAAACGAACAGAACTCTATGCCCTGATGACTGCCCTTTGATTCATGGGTGTTTTCCTGGGCCTCAAGCGGGGACCTGAGCCGCTCTGTGATGCGGGGGACAGAGGGCAGTGGCTGGGCAGCTTGGGGCCTGCTCCTCTGCGTCCACACGACACCCACCAGGTGAAACCTGTCAGGTGGCCGGGAGGCCCAGGGCTTCATGCACTTGAGTTTCTGGACACTGCACACTTGGACCTGACCAGGCATCCAGACATGCCCTCCCTGAGACACTTCGGTGTCAAAAGAATTTTACAAGAAAACCGAGGCTCAGAAAACTTAAATAACTCTCCCATAGTCTCAGGGAAAGACCCCCAGAGATGGCTCCACCCTGGACATCATGATTTTGTTTTTTTGTTTTTGTTTTTTCAGAAATTTTCCCGAGAGAGACAGACATCCTTCCCAGCCTTGTATCCAGACACCCAAATAAACAGGCCACGAGGAAGAGCGTGGGTGATGCGGAGCCCAGCGTCTTGGCGAGGGATGGGTCTCAGAGCTGATTCCGTCTGTTCTGCAGCTTTGCTCACATGGTGCAGACATTAGTAATAAAGGAGATGGGCTGAGCTCTGAGGCCCTTGCTGCTGGACCCCGTGACCTGAGCACTCCGCCCTTGTCGGAAGGTGGGTCTGTAGCTTTTCTGAGATTTCAGAGAGGTGGAGAGAAGGCCTGGGAGAAAATGGTACTTCTGCCTCCCAGGAACAAGTTAGAGCCAGCCAGCCCGGAAATGCCCCTGCATGCTCTGGTGCTCCTGGGTCTGCAGCTCAGAAAGGGCCAGACCGGGGTGCCCCCAGGAAGCCAAGGAAGCTCAGGGCCAAGCATGGGCTTAAATGTCCCCTATTAAGTGAATGAAGCTTGAGCTGGAAATTGTACACAGGGCCCCTGATCTGCTTGCAGAAGAGGGAAGTTGTCTCCCCCAAGGTTTTCCTGGGTGGTGGCTCCAGGGGTGGGGCCCTGGGCTTCAGCGGTGGGCCCACGGTCAGAGCTGTCACCTTGATAACCATCTGAACATTCAAATCTGATCATGATATGTTCCCAACTGCTTCTGGGAAAAAGCCCCAGAGCCCTGTGCAGTCCCCGCTCACCTCTGCACCTCCTTGTGGGACAGGGCCTGGGCCCTGAGCTCCTTGCCCTTCCCACTCCTCCCTGACCCCTTCCTGGCCAGACCCCACATCCCCACCCTTAGCTGGGGCTGCAGTTGTCTAGCCTCCCTGCGGGAGCCTACCACAATCCCATGCCGGGTGGAAAGGCCCGGTCCAGCACCCCACACATCTAATATAACCAGCAGGTGCAAGTGGCTGTATAGCCATCTAATGGACGCAGCTCCTCCCCATGAGGCTACCAGCTCCCGACTGCATGTCCTCATATCCAGCTTTGTCCCCAGCACCCAGCAGGCAGTGAATACGGAGTGAACGCCTGGCTGTGGCAGAGAGGTGCCCTGCAGAGAAAGCAGCTGGGCCCTGGGCTCCTGTCTTCCCTCTGGCAAGCTGACTTCCTCACTGCAGACACAGATGCCCCGACCTGCTTTCTTCCTCTGTGCAGTTTGACCCTCTGCTCTCTAACGATTTCCTTCACCTCAGTCTTTACCACTGGACTAGTTCAGGGCTGGTCTCAGAAAGTTAGGATGTCAGTGACGGCGGCGACCCCCACACCTGGCCAGGCCTCAAGGCCTCTGCCCTTCCCTCCCTCCCCTGCTCCTCTCACAGCCACCTGCACGCTCACTCTGCCAGGAGCAGCTGCCTGCCAACAAGAGAAAGCGAGTTCAGAAGCAAATGTGAGCTAGTGGGTAGTAGCTTCTGTATTTTCTGCAGACCCATTTGCATGTTAGTAGGCACCTGTCCAAGGCAAGACTCCCTAAGGACTGTGGGGGAAGAAAGGTGAGACCTTTGGGTAGAAGCCTTTTTTGGGTGACCTTCAGACCCTGGGGGTTATTGTTTGCCTGGATAACTTGATCATTTAGGCAACAAAAGTATTTGAGGCCCCACGTGTGAAAGCCAGGTCATTATTGGCTTTGTTAATGTGGTGAAGGATCCCGAGGCTTTAGTTGGGAGCATTTGATGATCACTCAGGCCTGGGGTGCGAAAGAAGCCCTGGGAAATTGCACCCCAGCTGGGGCCCAGAAATTCTGGCAATCATGCAGGAGATAATCCTACGAGGAGTTGGGCCTTCATCCCCCAGGGTCTCAGAAAAAAAGCAAAGCTCTTCTCTGATTTCAGGAACCAAATGCCCCAGGGGCCACTGAAACCCTGCAAATCCAGCTCCCGGGCTGCTTTCAAAAATACCAACTCCACAGAGACTGAGGGACAAGAAGAAGCAAACAGGATGAGATGTAATATTTTCAAGATGTCAGTACTTGCCAAATTGATCTACAAATTCAAGACAATCCCTATCAAAATCCCAGCTGCCGGTTTTTGCAAAAATGGACAAATTCCCTATGCAAATTTTAATATGAAAATGCAAGGGACCCTTGGTGGTCAAAACAACCTTGTAAAAAGAAGAACAAAATTAAGAACTCATATTTCCCAATTTCAAAAGTTACTATGAAACTACAGTAATCAAGAGAGTGTGATACCGACATAAGAATAGGCATATAGACCTATAAAATAAACATCAGAGTTCAGAAATAAACCCTTTATGGTCAGTTTATGGTTAGTTGATTTTTGATAAGGGTGCCAATATCATTCAGTGGGGGATAAAATAGTCTTTTCAATAAATAGTGCTGGGACAACTGGATATCCAGATGCAAAGAATTAATTTGAACCCTACCTCACACCATATACAAAAATTAATTAAAAATGGATCATAGACCTAACCAATAAGAAATAAAACTATAAAATTCTTGGAAGAAAACAGAGGTGTAAATCTTTATGAGCTTGGATTAAGCAATGATGTCTATAATATCAAAAGCACAGATGACAAAAAAAATTAGCTAAATTGGATTTCATCAAAATTGGAAACATTTGCACTTCAAAGGACACTTTGAAAGTGCAAAGACAATCCACAGAATGGGAGAAAATATTTGCAAATTGTATATCTGATAAGCGACTAATATTTAGAATATAGACAGAACTGTCACAACTTAAAATAAAAAGAACAATAACTCAATTTTAAAATGCACAAAGTATCTGAATTCTCTAAAGAAGACAGACAAATGGCCAGATAAAAAGTTGCCTAACATCATTAGTCATTAGGGAAATGCAAATCAAAACCACAAGGAGATATGTTTCACATACGCTAGAACAGCTAGAATCAAAAGGACAGCTGATAACAAGTGTTGGCGAGGATGTAGAGGAATTGGAACCTTCAAGCATTGTTGGTGAGGATGTCAAATGGAGCAGCTGTTTGGAAAACAGTTTGCCAACTCCTCAAAAGATTAAATGTAGAGTTACCATATGACCCAGTAACTCCACTCCCAGGTATATATCTGAGCCACACAATATATATGTCCAAATAAAACACAAATGTACATGGCAGTAACCTTCACAACAGCCAAAAAGTGGAATCAGCTCCATGTCCACAACTTAGGTGTAAATGAATAAAATGTAGTACCCACACAATGGAACGTCATTCGTCATAAAATTGAATGGATGGCGGATACATGCTACAGTTGGAGGAAACTTGAAAACATGCTAAGTCACAGAAGCCAGTTATAAAAGACCACATATTATATGATTCCATTTATATGAAATGGCCAGAATAGGTAAATCCATAGGGACAGAAAATCACTTCGTGTTTGCCAGGGGCTGGATCGAGAAGGGCCAGGAGTGACTGCCAGTGGGTCAGAGGGTTCTTTTTGGGGTGACAAAATGTTCTAAAATTGTGGTGATGGTTGCAAAACTGTGAATATATTAACAACTATTGTTGGATTGTATACTTTGAGATGCTATGTGATTTATATATCAAACCTTTCAAAGAAATCAGTCATTTTAACACACTGCACTGATGTTATGGGGGGTAGCTGGCCCTCAGGATGACAGTTCCATTCAGTCGATGTTTCTTGATTTGAAACTGTTGCACGCCAACCAGGTGCCAGCTGTGTGGGTGTTGAAGTGACCAAGACCCAGTCCTGGTCTTTCTGAGACTCACGGTCTGTTCAGAGAAGCAAATACATATACCCAAATGCTTCCAATGGGGGAGGGACTGTGGGTACCTGTTACAGTTAAAGCACAAAGTGTGAGAAAAGATGACGAGAGCTGAAAATCCCAACTGCTCCTTCCTCTCGGGAAAAGAAGTGAGCCTGGTGAAGAGGGAGACAGTTCATTGGCACCTTCTCCTTCCTGGGGGGGTGGGGGGCTCTCCAGACACCCCCACTGAACAGATGGGTGAACAGATGAGAACTTGTTGAGCCCTGGGGTGGCTGGGTGTCCTGGGGGATACACGGAGAGCTAAGGCATGGCCCAGCTAAAAGCCATGGCCTACCAGGCAAGGACACGCAGAGCTGGTGACCTGCAGCAGGGTGCAGGCGGCAGACACCCAGGATGGCAGTGCTGCAGGAGGGCCACATCCTGCTCCCGCTCCTTCCAGATTGTGCTCCTTAACCGCCCATCCTGGGCCTATCCACAGGGCCCTGCACATAGGGCTGTGGGACAGTGATGGTTTAAACTAGGGTTGGGGGTAAGATGACAGACCACAGCCCATGCCTGAGAGCGAGGAGGGAGGCCTGTCTGGAGCCACCTGACTCTGCCCCAGCCTTCTAGAACTTTTCCCTCCTCTTCCTCCTCCATGTCCAAGTACCTGTGCTGCTCCAAGAAAGGACTGGCTCCCCACTCCACAGTGTGCATCAGCCCTCCCCACGTGAGGTGAAGCCCCCGCTGGGGGGCCCTCAAGCTGTTCAGGGGCAGTGGGCCTCCAGACTCTGGCCCGTAAGCCGAATGCACACAGAGCAGCAGGGCCCATCTCAGTAGAATGAGTTGCTCCCATCAAAGGCATCAATGTAACAGCCCTGCTGGAGGTGCCGGGTGGGTATTTTAAGCCTTATCTTTTGTCACGAAGTCCACCCCTAGTTAAAATTGTATTTCAGTGAAGGACTGAGCTTTCTGGGCTGGAGGAGGGGGAGCACCCTGAGGCCTCCTGTTGTGCCCAAGAAGCTGCTCAGGGGGATGAAGTAGTGTACGCTTGCCCTCCTATCAGGCGAGAAAGCTCAAAAAGAAGCCAGACTTGCAGGAAACTCCTCCCACCTGGTCATGATTCCTGTGACCCTTTGTGACCCTGTGAGGAGCTGAAGGACCCATGGCCAACCCTCTGTGTGACTCACTTCCCTGTGCACAGCTCGTGACTTGGTCTGAAGGACAACAGTGCTGCAGTAGCTCTCCCTGCTCAAGTGCCATTTCCCCTCCCCGGGCGCCGCACCCTCTTCCTGCCCCCCAGCACCTGGCCCTCCTTCTGGAAGCCTCGTCCCTCAGCCCTGTTCTCTGGTACAAGCCACAGAAACCAGCCCTGGCTGATTTAGGCAGAAACTGAATTAATCTCAAGCTCTTCATGATCTCTGGGAGGACAGATGCCAGGCTGAGAAGCTGGGCAGCCAGCAGCAGAGGCTGGAAATCCTGCTCAGGATGGTCCGGCAAGGACAGAGGGCACTGCTGGGCTTGGGCACCACGGGTGCCTGGACCAGCTCCGTGCACGGCTGCTGGAACATCCAGACAAGTGGAATGCAGCTGCTGCCAGACTCCAAGTGGTGCCTGCCCAGCAGAGCTGAGGTTACCAGCCCACTTAGCCACACAGGGAGTCTGGCCTGAGAGTGCCTGGCCTGGCATTTTCAGCCTCTCCATTGCAAGAGGCTCATCAGGTCGGGGTGGGGGGGTGTCTCCAAATATAGGAAAGGAGATAAAGATCCCAGGTGGCCACAAGGCATAACAAATGGCCATTCTGCCTCCCACAGGTACAGGCATCAAATCCCACTTCTAACTCCCCGCCTTCCACGACCAGCACGCTCTCTGAGTCTGGTAGTAGTCACTCAGGCAGTCATGGCTGAGTCAGCCATCAACCCTTACTTGTTGAGGTCCCAGGCCAAGTCCAAGGTCACATTTCCTTGGGAAAGATCCTTAGAAGAGTGTTCGGCACACAGTAGTGAGGACTGTGTTTTCCTCTGGACAGAAGGGTCAGATTTCCTGGACTGCAGCAAAACAGAAGCTGTAATATAAAACATAAAGATCTCTTTAAAAAGATGTCCTTTTCAGGGATGAAAATATAGCATAGGGAATAGAGTCAGTAATATTGTTACATCTTTATATGGTGATGGATGGTAACCACTTATTGTGGTGAGCATTTAGTGATGTATATAACTGTCACATCCCTATGTTGTATGCATGAAACCAATATGATATGGTATATCAATTATATTTCAATAAAAAAGGTTAAAAATACCTTTTGCATTTTTTTAAATTGAGGTATCATTGACATATAACTTCATATTAGTTTCAGGTGTACAACATAATGATTTGATGTTTGGATATATTGTGAAATGATCACCACAATAAGTCTAGTTAACATCTGTTATACATGGTTACAGTATTTTTTATTGTGATGAGAACTTTTAAGATTTACTCTCTTAGCAACTTTCAAATATAGTCTTATTAACTACAGTTGCCATGCTGTACATTACATCTCTATGACTTATTTATAACTGGAACTTTATACCTTTTAACCCCCTTCATACATTTTGCCCACCTCCCACCCCTGGCCTCTGGCAACCACTGATCTGTTCTCTGTATCCATGAGCTCAGTTTTGTTTTTATTTTTTTAGATTCCTCATACTTGGTGCTTGTCCTTCACTGTCTGACTTACTTCACTTAGCATAATACCCTCTAGGTCCATCCATCTTGTCACAAATGGCAAGATTCCATTCTTTTTTATGGCCAAATAGTATTCCACTATACCATTTAAAATACATATATGTATGTGTGTCTATTTGTATTTTCCATTTTATATATATATATATGTATGTGTATATTATATATATTACATTTTCTTTATACATTCAGCCATCTGTGGACACCTAGGCTGTTTTCATATGTTAGCTATTGTAAATAATGCCATAATAAATATGGGGCTGCATATATCTTTTCAAATTAATGTTTTTGTTTTCTTTGGATAAGTACCCAGAAGTGGAATTGCTGGACCATATCCTTTCACATCTTAAAAAATAAATCTGGGTGGCATGAGGACCAGTGTAACATCTGTCACGTTCCTTCAGCAAGAGACATTCAAATCAGCCATTCCCTTTATAGTTCATCAGAAAATACAATAACTTCAGCATCTATCTGCTGACCACAGACTATTCTGGGCAGTATTTTGAAAATGAAACTGATTTACTAAAAACTTGCAACAGGAGGCGAAAAGGTTTGAGGTTGACTTGACCGTCCTGCTATGGGGAGATCCATGTGCTGTGAGCCAAGGTCAAGAGGGTGAATCCCCTGGGGATGCAGCAGTGGCCTGAAAGCTTAGTTCTCTTGTGCCCACTGTCCCACTCACTGACCACATAACCCTGGGCCAGTCACCTGGGTCTCCATTTCCTTGTCTGTAAAGGAAAGCTGAGCACCTCAGGTCCTTGGGCAGGAAATATGAGGAATGCACGTGAGTCGGCTAGGAGGGGTGTGTGTGATCCGGGAACACAGGCTGAGAGTCTCCTGCAGCTTATGGGCTAGAAGGCAGCTGGGCCTTGGGAAGGTTGCAAAAGTGACCTTTTCTTCAGTAGTGCTTGTTGAGCTACCACTCTCTGTACCAGGCTGTGTTGAAGGCCCTGGAGATCCAGTGATGATCCACAGGGCTGCTGCTCTCAAGGAGTTAATGGTGAACCAGTAAGCAAATAAATACATGGGACAGCTCTGAAGATGACACATGCCATGAAGACTTGAAAGCAGGCTGATGTGACAGAGTCTGGCTAGAGCAGGAACCACTTTGGCGTGTCACTTTCAGACATTTAAGAACATTCCTGATTGTCAGGAAGCTGGGAAAGAGGGGACAAGAGTTCCAGGCAGAGGGAACAGCGTGCACAAGACCTCAGGCAGGACCATGCTAAGTTGGCTTGCAGACCAGTGTGCCTGGAGTCCCGTGAGCCAGAGCCAGCAGCCTGAGTTAAGTCTGAGGAGGCGGGGGCCTGGAGAGCTTCTTGGAATGGATTTTCTTCCCACCTCCCAGCTCTGGGCCTGTCTGTCTGCTTCACTCTTCCTTCTGCAGACTGGTTTCCTCTGCTCCCAAGCCAGCGGGCAGAACAGGGCTGCCCTTAGGCACTAAGTTCACCCTTCAGGTCTAGTCACTCACAGGGACCATGTCAATATCCAGATGACCGAACTGCATCTCTGATCCTTACCAGGAGCCCTGGTCAATCCCAGCAGGTCCGTGGTGAGAACTGGGCAGGTACTTCAAAATCATCTGCCTCAGAAGGGACAGGACTAGGAGACCTCCTTCCAGCCCTAGGATTTTGAGAATGCAGGGGCGAACGGACTGCAGAGTTATCTTTTCAGATTTTCAGAGAAGGTCGCAGGAGTTAAATCAGTTCTCAAACAAGTGTGCATCAGGACCACTGAGAAGGCTTGTTAAAGCACAGATGGCTGTACCCCCACCTCAAGTTTCTGATTCAGTAGGTCTGGGGTGGCACAGCCTGACAATCAACGTTTCTAACAACTTCTGATGGTGCTTTTAAATGCTTTGGTTCCTTAAGTGGGGTCCACATTCGCGGGCCTGCCAGTTCCTACATCCTGCAGTTTCTAGAGTCAGAAGGACTGGAGACAGGGGATGGGGCCCCAGTGGGTGCCCCCAGCATCCTGGATCCCTCTGTAGACCAGGGCTTGAGAATCATGGTTTTAAAATGTTTCAAAACTTCAGAAATGTCTTTGTTCCCAACCTTGAGTGTCACCGTGGGGAAATAAAAAGTGACCAAGCCAATGGCTGTTTGCTCAGTGACCTTAAGTAAAGTGGTTAATTAATCATTGTGTTTGGATTAATACAAAACAAATCCTCCATTTTCACCAAAGGAAAAGAGGG